CCATGATGTTTCGCGGGCCGCTTTCTGTCCGGTTGGTGTTTCCAGGCACCATTTCACATAGTTGGACTTTTCCTCGCCAGCCCCCCACCCCAGCTGGTTCTTTGCTCTGCACGTCTTCTCAGACTAGCCGTTAAGAGTCCAGTTAGATGCTCCCCCGCCGTGCCCGGACCCACCTTTCTGATGATTCATACAGGTTCTGATAATGTAGGTTTTTATCATTTACCTTTCTGTCAATTCTGGTAGGAAAATTAAAAAAAAAAAATCCCTTCCTCATTTTCTCAGATATCTAATTTTAGAAAGTTCCAGTATTGGATTTTTATTTCAGCATAATTTTTAAAAAGAAATTTTTTGTTTTAGAGGCTTTTGTTTTAGGGGTGTGCTCTCACCAGAGAGAGACAGAGACAGTGAGAGGGATGCTGCCATCTTTTCTCCTCCATTCTCCTGGGATGTTGGGCATGTACGCACACACACCCAGCGCGATTTTGAAGCCACTGTGTCTGGACTTGAACCGCAGTCGGCCGTGTGGGAATCCAGCAATGTAACTACTGTGCCATCTGCTGGCCCCGTGATTTGGTTTTTATATGTGTGACTGATTAAAGTCCAAATTGTGAAAAGGAATAAGAATAAAGTTTAATTGTCAGAAGATACACGCATGCTGATTAGAGAGAGAGAGAAAGAGATGTGACCCCTCCTGCACCTCACAGTGGGGTGTGTTCACACCACTGTCCTCTTTTCTTTTCTCTGTCATGTCTGGATTCGGGGCATGCTTGCACATGGGCCCAGAGTATTTTTCAAGCTGCCAGGGCCAGAATTTGAATCACGGCCTCCTGTGTGGGATCTGGCTCTCAATGATAGGGCTTAATCACTGTGCTGTAGAGCTGGTCCGAGCTTAATATATTTATCTTTTGTTATTGCCAGAGGGTATGTGTGCTTGCCAGATAGAGACAGAGAGAGAGGGAGGCAGAGAGGGAGATAGAGAGAGAGGGAGACAGAGAGAGAGACAGAGAGACAGAGAGAGGGAGACAGAGAGGAGACAGAGAGAAGAAAGCATCCCCCCAGAGGGTATGTGTGCTTGCCAGATAGAGACAGAGAGAGAGGGAGACAGAGAGGGAGATAGAGAGAGAGGGAGACAGAGAGAGAGACAGAGAGACAGAGAGAGAGAAAGGAAGAAAGCGTGCCCCCAGTGGGGAAGTGCTCACGCCACCTTCTCATCTACTTCTCCATCCTGCCTGGGTCTGGGACACACACATGCCCCGTGTGTTTTTCTGCTGGAGCCGGAATTTGGCTGTGTGGGATCTGGCTCCCTCTCATCTCTAGGCTTTGCTAAAGGTCAAAAATACTGTCCTAAGAAATCTACAACGATTGCTGTTTTTGCAGAATTTTGGTTCCAGAGAAGATGAACTCATCAGTGTTTTCCTGCTAGTACCATACACTGCAAAACCCTGGAATATGGTACTCCTTAGACCACCCCTTCCAGCTCTGTTAGGCAAGCCAGTCGTCGGTCTGTGACTATTTGGGAACGTCTCTAGTGTGGCAGGGGAGAATTTCCTAGGTGGTCTGTCTTTGGTCCTGGGGGTGCAGATCTGAGGAGCCGACATTCCTTTGTGAAGGAATATAGATGCCAGCAGCACAGTGCTCAGGCTGTCACCAGGATAAGCTCTCCTACCAGCCTTCCACATTAGGCAGCTCTCCTTGTTTTCCTGGGTCAGTTGAAAAACATTTTTTTTAACCTTTTTAGTTTTATTTTTTAATTTAAGGTTTTTGCCATGGGGTGCATATGCTTGCCAGGAGAGACAGTGAGAGGGAGAGTGAGAAAGCAAGCTGCGAGGTCTGGGGCTGGAACTGCGGTCGGCCATGTGGGAGTCCAGTGCCCTTAACCACCATGCCCCCTGCCAGTCACAGTGTTTTCCTTTTTTTTTTTTTTTTTTTAAAGAAAAAAAAATTATTGAACTTGGAAATTCTTCTACTGTAGGTCAAATAGTCTCCTGATTTTTTTCTTTTTTTAAAGAGAGATTTCTGTTATAGAGTATGTGCGCTCTTTAGAGAGACAGGGAGATAGAAAGTGAGAAATCACCCCCCTCCAGGGGGATGGCCAAGCCACAATCCCTTCTCCATTCTCCTTTTGGGATTTCGGCCATGTAGGCACAGGCGCCTGGCGTGTTTTGAGCCGCTGGGTCTGGTGCTCAAATCGTGGTCAGCCTCATAGGAGTCCAGTGACATAACCATTACGCCATCTGCTGGTCCCTCATGGGTGCTTTTTTTAAAAGATTTTTTTTCTTTTTTTAAATAATTATTTAACTTTATTATCATTATTTTATTATTTTTTTGGAGAGATTTTCGCTATGGGGCGCGTGCGCTCGCCAGACAGACACAGAGAGACTTAGAGACAGCGAGAAATCACCCCCCAGGGGGGATGGTCACACCGCAATCCCTTCTCCATTCTCTCGGGATCTTGGGCACGCATGCACACGCGCCCAGCGTGAGTTTTAAGCCACCGGGTCCAGGACGTGAACCGCGGTCGACTACGTGGGAGTCCAGTGACATAGCCATTATGCTAACTGCTGGTTCCCTTTATTATCATTATTATTATCTTCTGGTTTTATCAGAGAGAGAGGGAAAGTGAGAAAGCAAGCCATCAGGTCCAGTACTTGAGCTGTGTTCGACCATGTGGGAGTCCAGTGCCTTTAACCGCCATGCCACCTGCCGGCCCTGGCCCTGCGTGGTTCTTATAGCTCATTTATTGAGACTTTGTATTAAATAGTAATTTATACATTTTCACTTACTCTTCATAAGAGCCTTGAGGTAAGTGTGATCGCCATTTTAAAATAAGAAATCTAAGGCTCGAAGAAGTCTTAAGTGACCGAGACAAGCAATTACTGGCTCACCTGAATTTTTAACTTTTCTATTTGTGAACCACATAAGACGTGCATTCCTCCCCACTTTTTTCTTCCCTTTCTTGGGTTTCAAAAGCGCAGCACACCCCCTTCACACCATGCAGCTAGACTGTGGTTGGCTCTTCCCTGTCTACCGCTAATGGATTGGCCATGGCTGAGATGTCTTTGTTACTCGGAGTCTGTGAATATGGATATCACGTTTTTCTTTCTCCTCTTCCCAATAGGCCTGCCAATTCTAGCGTGAATGCTGTTAGCTTTAGGACAGAGTTATGATTGTTGTCTTCATGTAGATACCTCTAGAATTAGTGACAGTTGTTGCTTTATTGTTATAATGGAAAGTTCAGGAGGTGAGGTGGGTATTTCTTTCTTTCTTTCTTTTTTTTTTTTTTTTAATTTCCAGAGGGCATGAGGGCTTGCCACAGAGAGATGGAAAGAAAGAAAGAAATAGGGAGGGAGAGGAGAGGAGGGAGGACAAGGAGAAGACACCTCCTAATGGGGAGTAGTCATGCCACAATCTCTTTTCCACTATTTCTCCATCCTGCCAGGATTTGGGGGATGCAGGCACATGCCCTTGGCGAGTTTTTCAGACTTTTAGGGCTGGGATTCGCACTAGGGCTGGCCATGTAGGATCTGTCTCCTTTTATCACTAGGCCATGGGACTGGCTCTATTTTTTTTTTTTTTTTTGTATTCCATGAGTGAGAGACAGAGACAGACACACACACATTGACAGCAGCTCCAACAAGGTCCTAAAACTGATTGACCTCTAGCCTTCAGCCAGGCCTGGGTCATGGGTAAGTGTTTTCCTAGTGTACTCTGGGAGGACTTGTAGAAACCTCCCTGTGTGTTCCTGCCAGGTTCCCGCTGTGCCTGTCTGGCCCCACGAATGTTTTGCTGGTTCACTTCTTTGTGGCCCCACAGCTGGCTCCCTCCCTCCCTCCCTTCTTCCCTTTCTTCCTTTTAGTTTTCTTTGCTATAGGATATGTGCACTCTCCAGAGAGAGAGAGAGAGAGAGAGAGAGGAAGTGAGAAATCAGCCCCTCTTCCCCCCAGGGATGACCACACTGCAGTCCCTTCTCTTGTATTCTCTCAGGATTTTGGGACATACACACACATGTGCCTGGTGTGTTTTTCAAGCTACTGGATCCAGGACTTGAACTGCAAGTCAGCCATGTGGTATCCAGCTGCCTTAACCACTGTGCAACTGACTGGTCCCTCTCTTTATTTCTTTTGGTGCAAGAATCTGTTGTTCGTATTTTCATATATTTCATTGTAGATTTTCTTTGAGGGATTGCCTCTCATTTCCCCATTTGAAAATAGTTCTTTTTGATGACCCAAGTGCATCGTTTTACAGAAGGCAAAACAATACGTGGATGCTCCCTTTCTTTCCTCTTCCTTCCCTCCCTGTGGTGGGTGTGGATCTTTTGTGAACGAGGGTATTTAAACACTGGCTTTCACCGGGGTATTGATGTTGTCTTTAGTGTTCTGTTGAGCATTCCTTTTGGACAAGTGAGGACATCATAAATTCAGAGTACCCACTTGCTTTGACCACTTTTCAGGATGGGCACTGACCTCCTTTATCCCCACTTGGTGCCATCCTGTGTACAGACTTTGACTATGTCATGTGTGAGACCTGTAACACAGACTTTTTTTTTTTTTTTTTGAGAGGTTTTTGCTATAGGGTGTATGCACTCACCAGAAAGACAGAGAAAAGAAAGAAAGTGAGAAATATCACCCCCTGGGGGGGATGGCCACCTTGCAATCCCTTCTCCTCTTGGGATCTTGGGCACACATGCACACGCGCCTGATGTGAGTTTAAGCCACAGGGTCTGGGACTTGAACCCTGATCGATTACGTGGGAGTCCAGCGACATAGCCGTTAACGCCAACTGCTGGTCCCGTGTTACACGGATTTTTAAGGCAGTTGGGTTATATGGCAACACTAAGGCACCTGCTCAGATTCCTCGGAAGAGGCATTGTATTTGATACTTTTTGTTTATTCGTTTCTTACCTGTCCAGGGAAGGGAAAAATGGGAGGCGTTAACCAGTGTCTGACTAATATTGTTAATACGAAGAAGGGTAATGAAATTCTCCCCTCTTTTGTTTTCAGGATCAGAGTATTTGCTGAGCGGTGGACTGAGAGAGAAATAAACCACCCGAACATCATTGGCCTGGTTAGCCAGGTAATTACATTCTACTCCGACTTGATTCTTGTGTCATTTTTTACCTTCAGCCTTCTGAAGATACAGTCATCTTTAATTTATGGCTTAATTTAAACTTGTTTTATTCTTTATGTTTTTTTTCCCCATAATGATAACACTAGTTTAATGAAAGACTTGAAACACTCAGGTAAATAGACATGCACATATGTGTGTGTATATATCTATATACATTTATACACAAACATTCTTTTGCAGAAGAGTTCGCCCCTCCCATGTGATTATTTTAATGACATTTATTCAAAATCTGAATCTGGGGCTATGTTTACTATTTGACCTTGGAAAGACCTAATTGCCAGATTGCTTATTGTGGATTTTTTTTTTTTTGAGAGGTTTTTGCTATAGGGCGTATGCGCTCGCCAGAAAGAAAACGAGAAATCACCCCCCACGGGGGACGGCCAATTGCAATCCCTTCTCCTCCATTCTCTTGGGATCTTGGTCATGTATGCACATGGGCCCAGCGTGAGTTTAATTCACCGGGTTCGGGGCTCAAACTGCAGTCATCTACATGGGAGTCAGCGATGCAGCCATTACGCTATCTGCTGGTCCCTTGCCAGAATGCTTGTACTGGCAAATAATGTTTCATCTAACCCCTTTCTTAATTTTCAATATTTCATCAACATAGGACAGATGGGAATAGGAAAAGTCGTCTGAAAGCCACGAAAGCAAGTGAGCTTTCCTTAGCGAGTTAAATTTCCATTTTTAGTAATACTGTTAATGTTTTGGTTAGCTCCTCTTTTTTTTTTTTTCTTTTTTTAAATTTATTCATTCATTTATTTTACTTTGACCAGAGCGAGACAGAGAGAGAGAGGGAGAGAAAGTGGGAAAGCAAGCCACCAGTTCCAGGACTCAAACCATGGTTGGCCTTGTGGGAGTGTCCAGCACCTTAACAATCATGCCAACTGCTGGTCCCCAGGTTAGCTCCTCTTGAGATAGGAGTTGTCTTTGAGTCCCTTTGCCTTTGATACATCGAGAGAATAGACCTTATCTGTTTTTTATTTTCATGTCTTTTGCATTTGTTCCACTTCCTGTTTCTCACTTTAGTCTCCTAGGCCAAGACCCCATAATTTCATGCTCATATTTGTCCATGTCCCTTTACTGCTTCCACATCTATTGTTTCTACTTTCTTATCATGTTGCTAGAAGATTTTCCTAAGTATTGGGTTGTCGGAAAAGTCACAATGCATTTTTGCATAGAATATGTCATGATTTTTCCGACAACCCAATATACCCTTTAGTGTATTACACACTGTGTTACGCAGTAAGTTTTGTGCTACCTTCACTGGTTTACAGAAGAAAAGTACATAATCTGACTTTTATCTGGGGATCTATCTAAAACACCAGCCTCAGCTCTTAAAATTTCCCTATAAAGTTCCCCAACTAATTATAGTATATACCCATTCTGTTCTGAACATCTGAACATTTGGTTCTAAACATTTGAACAGAGAACTATCTCTATGGTTTATTGATTGGTTGCTATAGGGCATATGAGCTTGCTGGGGTGGGGGAGAGAGAGAGAAAACTGCCAGATCCAAGATTCAAACCATGGTCAGCTATGTGGGAGTCCAGCGCCCCAACCACCATGCCACCTGCTGGCCCCCTGGAAGAGGTGATTTTTATCCTGGTTTCTTTGGATCTGTGGTTATGGTTGTGTCATCTTGCTCCCCCACCTGTGGATGCTTTTTAGATATTCTCTCTTTTTTTAAAAAAAAAATAATTATTTTCTTTTATTTTTTATTTATTCATTCATTTATTTTTTAATTTGACCAGAGAGAAACAGAGGGTGAGAGTGAGAGAGAGAGGAAGTGAGAAAGCAAGCCACCAGATTTAGGACTCGAACCCCAGTCAGCCATGTGGGAGTGTCCAGCGCCTTAACCACCATGCCACCCACTGGTCCCTAGATATTCTCTTTACGTTTGGTTTTAAACAATTTGATTGCCATGTACTTAGTCTGGTTTCTTTGTATTTATCCTGCTCGAAACTCTTTTAGATTTGTAAATTGGTATTGTCATCAAATTTGGGGGGTTTTGGTTATTACTTCCAGTATATTTTTCTGCTTCAGTCTCAACTCCTTTTTCTCTGGGACTCCAAGCGCATTCGTTAGTCCACTTGCTGTTTCTCTTATGTCCTGAAGGCTTTCCCTGTTTTTCTTCCATCTTTTTTCTTTCTCCAAGTTGTATAATTCTTTTTTTTTTTAGAATAATTATTTATTTAGTTTTATTTATTATTATTCTTTCTTTTAAAATTTGATGTAGGGTACATGTGCAAGAGAGAGAGAGAGACAAAGAGAAAGCCCCCGGGTCCAGGACTCAAACTGTGGTCGAACACATGGGGGTCCAGTGCCTTAACCACCATGCTATGTGCTTGCACCTGGATAATTCGTTTTTATATCCCTTTAAGTTCAGTGATTTTTTTCTGCCATGCCATTCTCTCTGAGCACTATTTACAACGAAATGCTTTTCAGAGAAGCTAACAGATTTCTCAGAGTTACATAACTAGTTTATGACATAGCTGAAATGAAAACCTAAATCATTATCCTTTACAGACTTCAGACTAGTTTTTTCTTTTTTTAGTAACTTAGTGAAACTTCGAATAAGTTGCTATCATATAGGTGGGAGTGGGAGTTGTAGCAGGGGCCGCTACTTAAAATTAAACATTGTAGAATTGCAGAAGATTGGAGTTGTTCTACTAAAAAAGATGGTTTTCGTTGAATTTAAGTATTCCTGAAATTTACAATATCTTAAACTAATCTCTCTAGGTGACATTTCTCTGCAGTGAAAGTATGTCTATGGCTATTCAACAGAGAAATTAAATTCTTTTTTTTTTTTTGAGAGTTTTTTTGCTATAGGGCACGTGCGCTCGCCAGAAAGACAGAGACAGACAGAGAGACAGAAAGCGAGAAATCATCCCCCAGGGGGGATGGCCACGCTGCAATCCCTTCTCCTCCATTCTCCTCTTGGGATCTTGGGCACGCCACACACATGCGCCTGGCTGAGTTTAAGCCACCAGGTCCGGGAATCGAACTGTGGTCAACTACATGGGAGTTCAGTGACATAGCCATTACACTAACGCTGGTCCCGTGAGTTGCTTTTATATATTGTCTATATGTAGGAAAGTTGCATTTGTTAATTTTGTCAATTATCTGCCTTGATAAAACAATACTCAAGTTTAAAACTGGAAACACAGGATATTAAAGCATTTTAGCGTGGAAACTAGGAGTAGTAGGCTCATTTAGGCATCAGTTTTCTTGTAATGATCAGTTCTCTTGTTTTACATATCTCAAGTTTGTTCTAGCTTTAAGTTTCTATGATTGATGAATCTGGTTCTTTATTACAAGCCTTTTAATGTCCTATTTACTGCTTGTCCTCCACTCACCTTAAGTACATAACTGGTCAGATTAGGAGTTGAAAGTGCCAGTAAAATGATATTGAAAATTATTTTTTGAAGGAACTGTGGATAGGGATGAGTTAAGAATATATCTGGGGCCAGCTCCATGGTCTGGCGTTTAAGACAGTTGGATCTCCTATGGCTGACCACATGGCTTGAATCTTGGCCCTGGTGGCTTGAAAAAATACACCAGACTTGTGTGTGCGTGCGCACGCCCAAATCCTGACAAGGTAGCAAAATGGAGGAGAAAGGATTGTGTTGTGACTATGCCCCTTGGCATTTGCTCTCTCCCCTTCTCTTTGTCTCTCTGTCTCTCTATGGTGAGTGAATACAACTTTTGGCAAATTGAAAAAAGAATACACAGTCATGGATAATGATTGATAATGACCTGCCAAGGGCCATTCTTTCTAACCATTTTTTTTTAGAATGGAAGGAATTTTGGGGTGTTGCTGGACAATAGTAATTTGTTAGCAGAAACTTAAGTCAGGCCAGTTCTATAGGAAGTGTTAGGGGACCAGTAGATAGCATAGCGGTTACATCACTGGACTCCCACAGTGGCTTGAAGATCACATTGGGCACATGCGTGTGCCTATCCAAGATCCCAGGAGGAGAAGGGAGGAGAAGGGATTGTGGTATGGCCGTCTCCTCTGGGCGGTGATTTCTCACTTTCTCTCTCATTGTCTCTGTCTGTCTCTCTCTAGTGAACCCACAAGCCTGAAAAAAAAAAAGTGTTAGAGTAGCTGCAGATGATATGGTTATACTGAGAGTGATCCATGAGAAAAGAGTCATGACGTAAGCTTTAAGTATTGTTCTTATATTATTTATTTATTGATGAATTAGTGAGAATGGTTAAGAGCTTAACTCTGGGTTCAAATGACTTGGATGTAATTTCTAGCTCCACCCTGACTAGGTGTATGAACTTGGGCGAGGTATTTTACCTATGTCTCAGGTTTGTTGGAGTAGAATACTTTCATCTAGCCCATGTTCTGCATATGATAGCGCTATTATGAGGATTAAATGGAAAAAGTAGGTCTTTGGGAAAGTCATGACATATTGTTCTATGCAAAAATGTGTCATGACTTTTCTGATGATCCTGATAAATGGAATGCATTTATTACAATATCTTGCTCCAAAATTAGATGAAATATTTGTCCACAGAGTATTTTTTTTTTATTACGTAAGATATTAAAGCTATGTAGTGTTTTATATGGTCAAGAGTATCTATTTTGTGCGAGTTCTGAAGTGTATTTTGAACCCACTGCTTGAACTGTGCAGGAAGGTTGTCATGCAGACCTACTGCCTGTGTGTTTCTTCCTGAACTTACCCTGCTTCTACCCCAGGATAGCTGTCTTTGAGTTAATAATTCACTGCCTTTAAGAAAACCTTTAAAAACCACATTGGTATCTGTTCCTAAAAAAAGATTAGTTTTTCTAGGCTTACAAAAATATGATTGTGATGTTTGCTTATTTAATTTAATGATTAGTTTTAAAATTCAGCTATGTTGTATATAATTTTATTTTTATTACTACTATGTTGTATTCTTCTGCATGACTTTATTAGAATTCATTTTTTAAATCT